AATTAGGATTATGTGTATGCGTGTGTATACATAGTCTATTCCGTTTCAATATTACTTCCGTCTCATTATTATTATTATTATTATTATTATTTATTGGTGTTATTATTATTATTGTTATTATTGTTGTTATTATTGTTATTTATTGTTATTATTATTATTATTAATTGGTGTTATTATTATTTATTATTTGATGGGGAATTATTCAGGTGAAGCGTATTCAGTCGGTACCGCTGGTGATTGGGCAGTTTTTGGAGGCAGTCGATCAGGATCATGCGATAGTTGGGTCGACGACGGGTGAGATTTTTGGTTTTTTGTGTTGTTTGTTTGGTTGGTTGAGGGGAGATGGGGGGGGTTTATTTTTTTGATTATTTTGATTGATTTTTTCCGGAAAATAGTGAAAAACTGGAAAATTTTGTGAAAATTCAATGAGAAAATGGAAAATGCGGGGTTTTGGCACGTTGCCAGCGAGATTGGCAAAGTGTCCGGGGAAAATGTTTTTGGCGAAATTGGACACGATGTTATTGCTCTTTCTGTGCAGGTTCGAACTATTTCGTGCGAGTGCTATCAATATTGGATCGTGAGCTGTTGAAACCGGGTTGTAGTGTGGCGCTGCATAAGTACAGCAATGCGTTGGTGGACGTTTTGCCGCCTGAGGCCGACTCGACAATACAGATGCTGCGAGCTGACGAGAAACCTGATGTAAGTGAGTTAATGAGTTGGTGACAAAATGGACAGAATCCGACAGAAATGGCGCGATTCGGATTTGACCGATTCGGACAGAGTTGTGGCGTAGTTTGTGGATGCTTTTGCGAAACATTTTTTGAGGAACAATTGAGTTTCATGCGATTTGGACGGGGTAAATTTTGTGATGAGTTTTGGGGGATGTTGACAGAAAGCAGGAATTTTGACCGTTTTGGACAGAGTTATGACAAATTGTGGAGCAATTTTGACAAAATGATTGCAGATTTCTTACGCAGATATTGGAGGGTTGGATATGCAGAAGCAGGAGGTACGTGAGGCAGTTGAGTTGCCTCTGACCCATGGAGAGCTCTATCAGCAAATTGGGATCGACCCGCCTCGAGGCGTGCTCATGTTCGGACCACCCGGCTGCGGGAAGACGATGCTGGCCAAGGCAGTGGCGGCGCATACGACCGCATCGTTCATTCGGGTGGTGGGCAGTGAGTTCGTGCAGAAGTATTTGGGCGAGGGTTGGTTTTTATTGTTATTGTTATTTATTGTTTTATTTCGCCGTTGTGTAATTTCAGGTCGTGCAGAGTGATTTCAGGTCATATATTGAGTGATTTCAGGTCATATATTGAGTGATTTCAGGTCCGCGTATGGTGCGTGATGTGTTTCGTTTGGCCAAAGAGAACAGTCCATCGATAATATTCATCGATGAAATCGACGCGATCGCGACGAAACGTTTCGATGCGCAGACGGGTGCGGACAGGGAGGTGCAGAGGATTTTGCTGGAGTTGTTGAACCAGATGGACGGCTTCGATCAGAGCACGAACGTGAAGGTGAGTGACATTTTATTTTGTCCGAATCTTTTTGTCAGCTGCAGTTTTGTCAAAATGGTGCAGAGTTCACTTCCTGTCTGAGTGGATAATTTTGTCAAAATGTTGCCAAATTGCCAATTCTACTCCTGTCTGGGTTAGGTAATAATGGCGACGAATCGTCACGACACGCTCGACCCGGCACTGCTTCGACCGGGCCGATTGGACCGCAAAATCGAGTTTCCGATGCCGGACAGACGGCAGAAACGACTGATTTTCTCGACGATCACAACGAAAATGAATCTCTCGGATGAGGTGGACATGGAGGAGTTCGTGGCGAGACCCGACAAGGTGACCGGTGCGGACATTAATGCCATTTGTCAGGAGGTTAGCAGCATTTTATTATTATTTTATTGTTATTATTGTTATTATTATTACTACAATTAAATTTGTTGTCATTATAATTAAATATTACAGGCCGGAATGCATGCAGTGCGGGAGAATCGATACGTAGTGCTGACTAAAGATTTTGAAAAGGCTTATAAATCGGTGATTAAGAAGGATCAGAACGATTTTGAGTTTTATAAATGATTTGGGAGCGATTTATTATTTTATTATATTATTATTATTGTTATTATGATTATGATTATTACTTTTATTATGATTATTATTATTATGACGATGATTATTATTATTATTATCGAGAAATGACGAATAAAATAATTTTTGGTCAAATTTTGCCGGCGGTTGAAGAGTTGGTATACGGGAACCAGTGATAGAATTCACGTATTTGTGGTGTTTTGTGTGCTATTTGTTATTATTGTGTTGTTTTCATTAGTGTTGTTGTTATTGTTTATTATTGTAGTTTGTAGTTTGGTAGTGAGGATGTAGTTTGATCGTGCTATTATGGTTGGTTGTTATTTATTACTGGCATTTGTCATTAGTAGGGAATTGGATTGTTAAATTGGAGTGGAGGCGGACATTTGGCAACGATTTGTAATGTGGACAATCGATCCGGACAGTATTAATGACAGCGATCCGAATGAGCGAACGTGTTATGTGACGGGGATTCACGAGAATGTGACGGAGTTGCTGTTGGAGGAGCTATTTGTGCAGGTTATTTTTTGTTATTTATTATTATTATTGTTATTGTTTATTATTATATATTGTTGTTTATTGTTATTGTTATATGGCGGTATTGTTAAGGGGAAGGATGTAGTTTGTAGTTTGGTAGAGAAGATGTAGTTTGATCGAGTGTTTTAGATGGGGTAAGATGTAGTTATTATTGTTATATGGCGGTATTGTTAAGGGGAAGGATGTAGTTTGTAGTTTGGTAGAGAAGATGTA